TGGTGATTTGCGTAGAGCTAATAATAGGTGTATCATACATAACCGTGCGAACAGACAGTAGAAACCAGAGCACCGACAGGAAACAGCCCACAAACGAAATGAGAATAAGCATCTTGAGTGAACGTCGTAAGCGACGCGTATCGGCCAGGGCGCCCAAGCACAAAGCGCCAATAATGCTCGCTAGTGACGATCCAAAACCGAACCAACCTAATAGAAAGAGAGACGGATAAATACTAGTTTCTCGGTGCAAACTTGTGGACAACACCGATATTAGTATCGTCGGCATTTCACATGTAGGACGCTGTTAGCAGTTCAGTTTACCAAAATCTCTAGATCACACTAGAGCTCTGGTGAACACCGAAGATTCGAACAAGTGTTAATTGAGAACTTGCATCAACTCGAAATGTACGTTTTCAGAAAGATAACAGTTCGATTACGATTGTGCCATGCGTTTTGTGAGCTAGCACATTTATCAAACCATCGTGAGTTGAAAGTTCTAGATGATCAGCATACTGCTTAGCTTCTTAAAAGAATTCAGTAAAATTGGGATTTTATGCTCAAATTTGTTCAAACATAAGTATATTCTGAAAGCTTTCAAGTTGCTGCACCAAATACTCCAAAAGCCGACGATGTGATGGACTGAGAAAGTCGGAGTTGAGCATGCAAACGCTGTAAAAATTCATTTTTGGAGATTTTAAGAGAGAAGTTTCCTGCACTGAGATGAAGTCGAAAACGTTTATCAACGCAACCCACTTCTTGGCCAAAAATTGAAATTCTGCATTGTGTATGCGATGCTGTCTGAATGATGCCCGTACAAAAACATTCAACTTACCCGCCTGTTTTTCAGAATAATTTTCGGGAGCAAGAATCGTGGCAAATAATCCAGTCCATACCGCGAATGTTCCACTCATGACACCACCCGCTGTTGAGAGTAGAACAAATGATGGATTGGTCATGCACTGTTTAAGGTCTTTCTTGTAGGCTATCAATCCTGTATCTCGGCTTTTCTCTTCTCCGCTCATGAGCAGTTGGCCGGCTGCTGACGGGGCCGTCGGTGGCTGAGCAGGAAAGTGGATTATGGCTAGAATTCCAGCTACGAAGGCCAAAGCAAGATGGAAATAAAGCAGGTGCGGCACATTTACGGGACGAGAGACGATCGCGGGATTGATAAGAAAGCTTACGCTCCCACCGAATATATTCCCCATGATAGCCAATGTGGTAGCTCGTGTTCTTTCTTCGGGGCCGAACCAGAGACATGATAATTGCGAAACGGGTGCCATTACCAAAGGGCCACAGGCGGCATTGATAATTTGACCGGCGTGCAGAAAGGGGAGAGAGATGGCTTTGAAGTGGGGACTCGAGGGTGAGGTGATTATTGAAGGTATGATTCGAAGAAGAGTAGCCACAAAACCGGCGATGGCTAGAAGGATGACGGTATGTCTAAGACCATTGTGTCTGTTGAAAAGGAGATATGTAAGGGGGAGACAGGGAATGAACATGATGGGTCCCCAGTTAAGGAGGAGATTGACAGTGGCCGACGAAATTCCGTAGTAGATTTGCGTGCTCGGCGAAACGGGCGAGAACGTGAGCCAAAAGGCACACTGATTGAAAGCGAGAAAGGAAAAGACACCGAGTACATAGAATCGTTTGCGGTAGAGTACGTAGGGAGCGGCTTTTGGCTCGGTAAATATGACAGGAGAGTCGGCGATCATCGTACAAAATCGACGACAAATTTATCTATGTGCAATCAAATACTATGTGGTAGTTGTCGTACCAAACTAGAGAAATATATCTAGCGGAAGAAATTCTCAAAAAACTTGATAACATGACGAGTTTAGAACATACACAGGATTTGAATTGCTGGCTAGATGAACATGCCTTCTACGGAAGAATCGAAAAAACAGAAGTTTACGATAATTTGATAGATAAAAGTCGAAAGAATTTCATCGTGAAGCAAAAAGAATTTTATTACATATTCTCGGTATTCTAGCTCCTACTCATGTCAACAATATACGGGATGATTTAGTTGAGGATGAAGTTGAAAAATTCCAGGTTGGCAATGAGAGGACAAATATTATCGATAGTAGCTGCAGATCTCCCACCTCGTGCTATTTACCAGTATTTTTCAGCTATGACAGGTAACGTAAAGACTGCTCGATGTCAAGCCTACTCTAGTGGCGAATATATAAGAAAAAGGTTTTAGATCGTACAGTTTTTATGCTTTTTTTTCTATGGTGTGTAGGTCGTCGAACAGTTGTGAGGACAGAACGATCACCAGCAATTTATTACACTAGCGAGCAAGTGTCACACTTTACTGAATATTTATTATCACCATATATCACTACCGATTTACCGTTTGCAGAAAAAGGCCGAAGCTGACATCTGATGAGCAGATTTTTGTTCCAAATACAGTTCAGAATCTTATCCCATGAAGAATAATTAAACAGTGTTATCTTTACTGCAAACAAGAATGTGAGGAAGGCCCGAATTTCAAACCATTGGGCAGAACAACTCTACAGTGGCAGCGAAACTTGTTTGTACATCCCAATCCTCATTCATAACCCCGTAACAAAAAAGGCTTTTTGACAAGCGGTTTGCACCAAAATATTCTCCACTCTCTCAAAATAATTTTGAAAAGTTAAGTTAAGTGAAAGAATTTGACCCATCTTTTAATGTTTTGGATCTTAGGGTTATTTTTTGAAATATCTTTCCTGTACGGGAGGATAAACATTTTTTGGACATCTTTGGCTTATCATGTAGTGGAGTAATTACTGTATAGAACTATGAAAAGAGAAATTTAGACTTTTTAAGTTCAGAGGGAAAAAGCGGGTTTCTGAACATTAAAACCGGCTTTTCACCCATAAACAACATTCTCCTTCAAAACTAGCATCATATTCGTGCTCAGCGTCAATAACTGCGTTTAGTGGTGTGTCACTCGAAGTCTAAAAAGTTTCCTATCGCAAACCTTTTACTTGGCAAAATTACCTCTGTTCCCCTGTCCGATGTTTAGTGATAGCATGAATACCGAGACCAAACAAATATTAAATGAGCGATATACTGTACTGCACCTGGAAATGATTTTTGTGTTAACAATATAATAAAAACTAAATATCTTGTGAAAAATAAGAGCTAACGCGGCAGGCGTCTCTG